AAAAAAAAATAAATAAAAAAATTAACAATACCGACAATAGTTTTCGTAACATATAGTTGAATTATATAAAGGTAATTTTACGTATCTTCCTAATCACTTTGGAACTCGAAAAACGGAAAAGCAAAACAGTCCTTTAAGGTTTATACTCCAACACCAATTAAAACACCGTAAGAATTTAGGTTAAATAGTAGATGTCCTCCTTGCTTATATATTCGATAAAGAAAAAGAAAGGAATCAAAGTGCAGGAGAAACGGCTATTGAGGTATTCACAACAGAGCAGCAAAGGAATTAATACTTATTATATTTTTTTAGTATGGAACTGAATGATGATTTAGTTGTGGAGATCATCTCCTACTTACCTTTGAAGCTTGCAGTTCGATGTAAAGTTCTAAACAAGAATTTCAATAGTTGGATTTCTGATCCTAAATTTTCTCAAACTTTGCTCCAACATCAAAACATCTCTACACTACTCCTCTATTCTTCATCAGATCGTTCATCCCAGCACTTCCACAAAATCTTCATAAACCCTATCGTAACCACGGAGTATAAGACGACGTTACCCGTTAACGTTGACGTTGTGGCCTCAAGTAAGGGTCTGCTTCTCCTTAACTTTGGTGAAGTTGTGGGTTTCTGTGTTTTCAATCCTCTAACTGGGGCGCATCAATTGATACCATACCCAAAGCCTACAAAAGATTATCGTACAAGAATTGGTAATGCATGCTTGGCGGTTGATTACCCTACTTCTGATCAATATAAACTGGTAACCATAGGGCAGCTGGGTGGAAAAGAAGGAGGGTATAAGTTTCAAGTATTTTCATCCGAGGGATCTGATGGTATGTGGCATAAATTCCAATTGAGAATGGACTTGAGCAATACTTTTAGTAATTTTCTCAGTTGTAACCCTGTTTATGTGAATGATTCCGTGCATTGGCTCAGAAATGATGGTCGTGTCGTTGCTTTTAATACAAAGAGAGAAGAGGCTACGGTTCTTGACCTACCTGAGTTCATCAATCATCATGATCCCATTCACGGTACCATTAAGCCTCGTTTCGATACATGGTTAGGGATAGCGCAAGGTTTACTTACCCTTATATGCCTTTTTAAGAAATCAACAGTCATTGCTTCTTATGATTATGTAACCAACAATTGGAGAGTTACTCATACTTCAGCCAACTTCATAAAGGGTGTGTCCCGGTTTCGCCATAATTTTGGTTTTCCAATCTGGATTGACAACAAACAAGTACTTTTCTTACTAGATCGTCGTCACGTGAAAGAGGTTCGACATTTGTACGAATATGATTCCGAGATGAACAGATATAAAATTGCAGCAGTTTTGGACAAAGACGATAGGGTAACTCTTTATCGCTTGCCTGCCTTCAGCCCAACATTAGCCAGTGTTCACAAGACTCTCTCAGCAGTCACAGTCACAGTGGACCTGAAACATCTATCAGCTATTACTGCAACCTTAGATGAACTCAAAAGATTTATTACTGAAGGCACCTGTTAATTTCACTTCAATTTTGTATTTTATTAATTATTGCTATGTCCTGAAGGAGACTGAAGGTAAGGACTAGATATTCCAATCAAATTTAATGTCTTTTGTTTTTTCTTTAAGCATTTCATACTATCAAGTCAACTGGGCCAATCAGCCTTTAATAGAAATATATTGCGTGCCTAGCTTCTTTGTGGTGTCAATGTTTCCCTTCAGATAAAGGAGTTATAGTGGAGTATATAACTAATGTTAAATTCAGTTCCCAAATACAAATTCATGAACCTGTTTCCTCGGCCACCACTTTTGTGATAACTGCAAATAGGATCCCAAATAGGCATATAAGCACTATAAACACACGCAAAAATGTGGTTAAAGGAATACTGATCCCAAGTAGGCTGCACTTTTACAATACAGAAAAGTTAAAAAAAGGTTTACTACCAGAATGGTGTTTACATTAAGGATGTGGGCCACAATCACAAGTATTTTGGTTTCCCAATCTGGACCGACAGCAAACGTTTGTGCTTTCCCTATAGTAGATCATTAACTGGAACAGCTTAAATATTTGTATGCGTATGATTCTGAGATCAATCGGTATAAAATTGCTGCAGCTCTGGACTTAATTAGTCATATGCTCTGTTTGTTCGAACCAATGTTAGCCAGTTTCCATAAGACACTCACACAGTCCATGCAGAATATCTATTAGCTATTAATTACTGCAACGTTAGACGAGCTCAAACGAGTTATTACTGAAGGTACTAGTTAGCTTCAGTTCAATTTTGCATTTTACTAGTTGTTGCTAATCCAATCAATTTTAATGCCACCTATACTATAAGAGGTGAGAAAGGCAGGGAGTGGTGAGAGTTTAGGCAGGCATATAAGCACTACAAACACGCGCAAAACATTGTTAAAGTAATACATACCCCATGTAAGCAGCCGTTTGCGATGCAGAAAAGTTAATAACTGAAATAAAGTTAAAAGAGTAACTTTGAGATGAACGAGTTAGATTATAGTTTACTCACCGAACCATCTTGACTCCGCTCATTTTGGTTTGAAGTGGAATTTGGGAGTTCAATTTATCATCTGTGTTAATGGATCCAATATATATTAGCCCATACAAATCGGACAAAATCCACCCAATTCAAACTATATGGCCATGCCGAGTAATTAACTACATGCATGATTTTCGTTTCTACTATTTTCTTTTAAAATTATATATTTATTCATTGCAATCCTTTTGTTTACCTTAAAAAACGGATAGCAATTGAATTTAGATGTGGTTTTAAGGATATGCGGATTAATTCAATACAAATGATAAATAATGTTAGATTAAACAGATAAAGGATGTAATAAATTGCCAAACCAATTAAGGGGAGTGATCTCGGACTCTGTAACAGCTTAATAAAATGCCTGCCTTCGATCCCGGGCTCACAATAATGAAGAACTGATTAATAGAAGAATTTTGAATAACAGAGAAAATAAGAGTATATTTGCTTTGATATGCGTGTTACAATGTGTCTAATGAATAGTGAGGCTCCCCTTTATATAGTAGGAGAGTTTTACCCTAAGTACAATTCCATAAAAGGTAAAAATCTTTCGTTTTGTTAATCACTGATTTTCTGCTGATACGTGCCGAGATTCACGCCGTGACATCCGGCTGGGCACGAATATCACGACCCTTTGTTAGTCGTGCTCGATTATCTGGTAATGCGATCTCCGAAGTTTTGGGATCCGAATCGGACCTGGGAGATGTGGCCCCGATTCTTCCGAGGGCAGGTGTTTTGCCCGGATCCCTACTCAAGGGGTTCCTTGCCCTGATTCCAGTTCTTTACGGTCATGTCTTGGCTCCGTTTACTTCATCGAAAACCAAGGTGTCCAACGGGCTTGGTTTCACCCGCATATGTAAAATATGGCCCACGTTGGTTACATTGGCCAAGTTATTTTGGGTTTAATAAATATTATATTAAATCTACTAAATTTCTATTGGCTAGTTGCGGAAGTTAATTTTGATTAAAACTCCCCACTCACCACTTTGATGGAAAGTAGGATTATGCGTTAAAACTACCGGTCCTCTCTCTTTGTCTTTAAAAAGGCAAAGAATAACATATTCCATCGTTGTTGTTCTGAAAGAAAGCAGAAAGAAAAGAGAGAGAAAGAACTTTCTTAATCATAAGTAAAGGTCAAACAATTCCGCTACGAATCATCAAGAAAATATTATGGAATCGGGTATGTTTCTTGATTTATGTATTTACTTTGTTTAGTATGTGAAAATCACATAGTTCCTAGATCCTTTAACTTATGATAGGTTTATTACGTTGGATTGCTTATAATCAAAGTCTAGAATTGTAAAATCTTACATGCGGTATCAAGAGCACAAGTTTTTGGAACTAGTGATTTTTCATAAAGATTAACGATTTCTTCAACTTGTAAACCCTAATTATGTAATTTAGGGATTTACATAACTAATAAAGTAATATAAAATATATCTAGTTATTTTCATATTATTGGAATTGAATTTTGGATGATGATTTGTCATGACCCAAAATCCAACTAGTCGTCATGACACTTAACCCAATCCGCTAGGTAAGTCAATTTAACAATAATCTAATTCAAATGAGATTTACTGAGAGAAATAATGATAATATATTTGAGCTTTTATACAAAGAATTTCCAAGGACTGGTAGTACAAGTCATGAGCCACTAAGACTAAGATTTTTTATTTTTACAAAACTGAATTGTAATAATTACAACATCTATTTGAAATGTAAATGAACAGAATCCTAATCTAATGCTACCAAGGACAAGTGATAGCCATAACTGGAATACAGGTACATCTTCAATGTCAGTCCTCGCTGTACACAGCAGCATCAACACGAGTATCTGCACGCAAGGTGCAGAAGTGTAGTATGAGTACAACCGACCCCATGTACTCAATAAGTATCCTAACTAACCTCGGCGAGATAAAAGAAGCAAGAACTATAGATGATACTCGGACAACTCATGTGCTATAGTATCAATGTCTGGATCCGCACGGATAACTCACGTGCTATATTATCAATATCTGGATCCGCACGGACAACTCACATGCTATAGTATCAATATATGTATCTGCACAGACAACTCACATGCTGCACGGACAACTCACATACTAATATCACAATCCGCCCGGCGTGGTCATAGGCACAACAGTCCAAATCATATCGCACAAAAGCAAGTATACAAGAACACATGTATATAATGGATAAAATATCAGATTTCATGCTCATGGACTGGTATAATTACATGCTAAAGTGTAGGCATGTGCAATGTGTGCTATCATAGCTCAAATCAATATTTTATCACAGAAATAGCATATACCAAGTTTTATTCAGGGATTTAGCCTCTTCGTAACCTCAAACATGGCTCAAGTAGTTCACAACAATGATACAAATATGAAATACATGGTAGCTTAAAGCTTAAAAGTCAACTCTAAGCGTATCATAGCCTAAGCACTACCCCGAGCATGGATAAATACCTCGGTGCTCGCACATGGGCTAAGGCCCCACACATATTCGCACCCATAGCACGTATCTATCATAAATAGTTCAGGCAACTAGTGTCTCAACTGAGTTTAGATAGGATTCTTACCTCAAACAAGCCGAATTCAATACCGAGCAAGCCAACCAATACTCTAGAAATTCCATCACGCGCGCACCAACCTCCAAACAGCTCGAAACCCAATCCATATAGTGAAAATCGCTTCAAAAATCGTCTCATTCCGAGCTCCATAGCTCCAATTATGCAAAAATGGCCGAAACCCCCGAAAGTAGAGTACTTATAATCACTAGGCAAAACAATGAATCACGATCGTGGAACTACCATCGCGATCACGAAGAAGAAAAAGCACTGCTCCTGAAAAATCCACTACTCGATCGCATCAATAGACTCGCGAATGCGGTACACATAACTGACAGGACTACGCGTTCGCGGAAGCAACCTTGCGAACGCGAAGAGATAACCAACATTCCGCCCAGCTCAGGCCCAAACACTACGCGAACGCGGCTATCCAATCATGACCGCGATGAAGAAAATGCCTAGCTCCAGATTTCCTCTATGCGATCGCACACCAATCATCGCGATCGCGAAGGACAGTTGAGGCACTAAAAACCAGTAGCAACCAACAATCAAACTTGAAGGAAAAATGCTCTGATTCCACTCCGAAACTTACTCGAGCCCCTCGGGACCACGTCCGAACATTCCAACAAGTCTCGTAACATAACACGGACCTACTCGAGACCTCAAATCAAGCATAACAACATCGAAATGATGAATCGTACCTCAAATCAAACTTAAATAAACTTTGAACTTTCAACTTCTAAAACTTGCGCCGAAACATATTAAATCAACCCGGAATGAACTCAAATTTTGCACACAAGTCCAAAATAACATAACGAAGCTATTCTAATTCCCAGAACCACAATCCGAACCCGATATTATCAAAGTCAACTCTCGGTCAAACTTATAAACTTTTCAAACCTTTGAATTTCCAACCTTCACCAATTAATGCCGAAACCTTCTAAAAATATCCAAATGCAAATCCGGGCATATGCCCGACTCCAAAATCACCATCTAGACCTAAAGGAACCATCAAAACTGCAATCCGAGGTCAAATACTAAAAAGCTAAACTTGGTCAACTCTTCCAACTTAAAGCTTTAATCATGAAATTCATTCTTCCAAATCGATTTCGAATAACCTGAAAACCAAAACTGAGGATTCACACAAGTCATAATATATCATACGAAGCTACTCATGCCCTAAAACTACCGAGCGAAGTGCAAATACTCAAAACGACCGGCCGGGTCGTTACATTCTCCCCCACTTAAACATACATTCATCCTCGAACGTGCCTAGAGTTGTTCCAAAGTCATCAAATCACTGTGTAACCTTACCATGTGCATACCCCGGGGGTGATCCCGCGTCACCCTAATCCATATAAGCCTGACGACATAAGCTAGCTGAAGGTTCTTAATTCAACTTT